AGTTGTTACGCACTTCATATTCTCAGGATGATCCATAGGTGTTGCATAATGTTTCTTACTCCTTTCTGCCACCCCATCGTAGGAGGGGTACGGAGGATTGTGCAACGCCCGTCGTTTTGAAAGAGGCGGGAAGCATTTTTCATCTAGTGCCTAGCAATGGGAACGTACGAACTCGCTGAGAAACGGTAACTCGAAAATATTCATGACGTTGTGAAAATGTCATATGAAATATATATGCAAACTGAGAATTTAAAAATTTCGGAATATAGTAAATTGTCACATAATTAGGAAATGGCATCCATAAAGAGAAATGAAAATAAAGTGAAATCCTTTCGTTTTAACTCTTTCAAACCCGAATTATGTTTTAGGCATAGAGAAAATTATTCCATTCAGTTTTTTTTTTAATTCAACGAGGCAAATGAAGCTAGTACAATCTTAAAATCTAATATATATATATATAAATAAATCCTTCCACGGCACCTGCCGGTATTGGAGATATGAGGGGGGATGAACCACATCCCAGACCTCATACTCGTCTTAATTCTGAAGGACACGGCGAAGGATGCTGGCCGTGCCCAAGATTGCTGTACGCTGGAGAATATCCAGTGATATTTCACACTCCAGCTTCTTGACATGTCCTTTGAGGTCTTTCAGGACGACGCCAGTTGTGCCTATGATGATCGGAACTATGGTGGTCTTCATTCCGCACAACTGTTCCACTTCCACTTTCAGTTCGGAGTATTTTTCCAGCTTCTCCCTGGTCTTCTCTTGGAGGTTGTTATCGGCTGGGATGCTCACATCTACGAGGAGGGCGGTCTTCTTCTCCTTCTTATAGATCGTAAGGTCCGGTCTATTGCAGCCTATACTGCGATCTGTAATTATAGGCATGTCCCATAGTATCTTGGTGGAGGCGTTCTCCACGACAGACTCTGGCTGGTGTTCGTACCACTTATCTGGGACTTCCAGGCCGGCTTGCTTTGAGACACACCAGTGCACATACTTGCACACTTGGTCGTGCCTATACAAGTACTCCCTCGGGGCTAGTTCGGGGCAGGCACTGAGGAGGTGGTGAACCGTTTCGGGTGGTCCATGACAGCATCTGCAGCGGTCTTCCACATCCAGCTTCAGGATGTGCTTCTCGTAATTACGAGTTCTTATATATATATATATATATATATAAGAACTCGTATATATATATCTATATATAGATTGAATTAAAGTAAAACCGTGATGCCTTCCCTAGCAATAGCCACCCGAGGTAACAGGCAGGCTATGACTGGCTCCTAGACTCTGGATGCTATATATATATATATATATATATAAGAACTCGTAATTACGAGAAGCACATCCTGAAGCTGGATGTGGAAGACCGCTGCAGATGCTGTCATGGACCACCCGAAACGGTTCACCACCTCCTCAGTGCCTGCCCCGAACTAGCCCCGAGGGAGTACTTGTATAGGCACGACCAAGTGTGCAAGTATGTGCACTGGTGTGTCTCATATATATATATATATATATTTTAGATGAAATGCAAATTCAAATCGTTTAAGAAATTAAAGGAATCAGTAAAATCATGGAACTCCATTAATGGAGTTCCATGATTTTATTAATTGGGCTTTTTGATTTTACTAATTGATTATATTCCATGGTATATTTCTCGAAGTTCATAGATACTTTCCATAATGTAATTCAGAAAAACTCAGAAAAAATAGCAGGGAAAAGAATACATGAAAATAGCTCACTCATTTTCTAAAATCTGGAAGTTACCTCTCGCTGACAGTTGTGCCTTTGTTTCAAACAGAGGCTCAACTGACGCATTGCAAAAAAAAAATAATGAGATAGCTTGAATTGCTACTGTAAAGTTGTCAGCCATTATGCAAGAAAAGTTCGTGTACGAACCAAGGAAATTTCTTGAAATGAGTGGTTCCGGATGGAACCTTCGGGCACGAAAGGGTTAACACGCATCAGGTTTTAACCGGACTGTCACACTCGCGAAGAAAATTGAGGACGAAATCGGCAATCAATCCGAATTCGGTCAGATTTTGCCATTAAAATGAACAATGCTCCCATCGCTTCTCGCCCCGTTATTAAATCATCAAGTTGAGATAAGGTGCCGACCCCGTTGCGCCACGCACGCGATGCAATATTTAGACTGTTACGAAAGGTGATACATTTTGTGGGAGTCACGGTCACGTCCTCAGGCTATTATGGATGTATGGATCCGTATTTGGATCTCGGTTTCATTAGACATGGATCCACGATTCATTAGCCTTGGATATGACCTTTTTAAATAATTTTAATGAACGCGCTCATTAGAGACGGAATTAGATTTCACTTGAATTTGCTCTGTGTTCATTCATGTTTGAAGACAGGCCCCCCCCTTCTTCGATCATTAAATATTAGGAAGTGCGGAAATTTGGAATGATGACGGTTATCGAAAAGAATTGTAAATTTGCTTAATTTTACTCCGTGCTATTCTTGTCAATAGTGTGATTCTCGAACTCACTAAAGCCCGGTGTAACTGCGGTGACGAGTGCGTTTCAACGTGAACGAGTACAATTGTTAATTTCGATGGGAAAAAGTAATGTCGATTCCGAGCTTTTGAAAACCGCATCAAGAGAAGGGCAACATGTTTCATCTGTGATCAAAGACCTTCGATGATGACCTTTGTACAGGCGGTCTTATGCAACGTTCGCATTATCATCGCCCAATCATGATCAACTGATGATTAGGATTAATCACTCTATCACTTTCGCGTTCGCACCATGTCGGACGGTGATCGGTAATTATCGGAAGGTAATCGGTCGCCCGTTCAGTACGTCATGCATCACGAACCTATCGTCAGTTGGGTTTCCCGCCATTTCAGCAAACTGTCTCTACTACCGACTTGGTGGTCACCGGGATGGTAGTTTCGATTGCTCCATCGCTGTCGAACACTTTAATTTGGGCACTTTATTATACTTTATTATGTTCACGATCGTTAGAAGTTGATCATCACACGATGATAGTCCGAATGAGGTTTTAGTTTAAGTTCTGCTACGTTCCATCCCGAGGTTATTACTGTGACTGTGACGAGGCAAGTAAGAAAGTCGACGAAGTTGAGTGGAATTTCCTCGCGAGTCGTTCTCCTCCACTGCAGAGGGGATTCCCGATCATGGGAATTATGGGAACCCCTGACCTAGCCGAACTAAGTGTGACAGGGACAGGGAGAAGGGTAATTTCAGCTCTCCATCTTCTTCCAACTCCTTTCTTTTCAGTTTCGAACCGGAGACACAGACGCTTTCGTTCGAGACGTTTCTTTTTCTTGCGTGCGAGAATAAGACATTGACGATTAAATGACCCCCCCCCCCCCCCAACATAAAAAATTGCTTCGCTTTCTTCGAATCTCAAAAAAACCCGCCCATATAGTTGTATGAGTTTACCTCGTGATTTGAAGAAAATTTCGAAAACTCATCATTTTCGTGAGGAATGTTGTTTTTGAACCATCGATTCTAACTGAATGGTATGGATATGAACTCTACGGGATCTTCTTGTTCCGAGTCTCCCAGATGCACCTGGAATGTCCATCGAGTGTGGAGCGTAGCCTCATATATAGGCGTTGTGAAGAACGGGGCTGGCAACGAAGGAAGTGAAGGAAAGGGAAGGAAGAGTGGACGTTTCACAATGACACATTTCCCCCCGGTCTGAAGGATCGGCAATTTCCCCAATTACACGGGTCAATTGCGGAAGAGCGTTTGTCCCTCCTGACCCTTCACAGGGATCCAACCGTGGTCATTGCGCAAAGAGAGATAGCACATACCCTCTTTTTTTTTCCCCCTAGCTCGTTGATCGGGTCTCGACCCCTGTGTCCGTGGGGGGTAAAAGGCCCACGTGCACGAGGGGGACAATTGCCAGTTTGACCATACGAAAAAAAAACCTTTTGAAGGTCGTGACACCTTTACTTCATCTCGTCATCTTTCATCACGAAGATTACGCCGACTTCCTGCGGCTCAACTTTTGGCCCGGGGCACCGATAGTCCAACTGAAGAAAATCTCACTCAAGTACACTACTAAAAAAACAATTACAGGATGTTTTAAGGTACACGCATTTCAATAGTTAATGTTTGGAAATTATAGGTCATATATTAGTCTAGATAATCAAGACTTTTTATCAAAACAAACAGCAAAAAATCGAGATGTCACTGTCAACAAAAACGAAAAAAGTGTCTTCCACATTAAAACGTCCTTATAATCTTTATTTTGAATGGGGAGACTTTTTCAACTATACTTTCCTGGCACCTCAGCTGGAAGATATGTAGCAGACGACATGAAGAGAAACAGAGCTGGGAGAGCTATTAACAGGCTGACTCATAGTTCCCCGTGACCCGTGGTGCCCCACCCTCCCCTATTATATTGCCAAATTACCAGACCCAGAAAGAACTCGAAATATCCTTGAATTTTCTAAGCAGTCAATTTTGCCCATCCCCTCGAGATTTTCAACCGACGTGCACGTAAGAAAGCCCTCATTCGGAGTCGAGCAATTCTCGGTTACGCAATGCGAAATCTATCGGTATAAATGTGTCGACTATTTGGAGTCCCATTCCGAGTCTGCCATTCTCCTTCAGCCAATCGTGGTTCGTCGAAAAAGGAAGCGTGTTCGTGTTCGCAAAGAGATGGGGATGGAACTGCGAGAAAATAATTGACGAATGAGAAACGACAGAATGGTGAAATAGGACCATCAACTTCCCATTATCTTTCCTCTTATCATTCGCCCCGACTAACTGCAACGAATCCGTACCGTTGGGCATGATTATATGAATTCAGGCTGTAAGGACGAGGAAACAATCGATTTGAGCTTGTCGTTTGATTAGGATTAGCATTAGGACTTGTCGCTTAAGATCGACGCTCCCCGTTCTCGCCAGATGTCGCCCCGGCAAGGGTGGGCCGAATATGATGGAAAAGGAAAGTGAGAGGAGGAGAATCGTGTGGAGCCTGGGATGACGTCACGGGTTGAGAAACGCCCAGGCTTTATAAAACGGGCCGGACCTCTCCTCGGAGATTCAGTGTTTCAGTGTCCTTCCTACTACTGTACTCTTTTTCTTGTGCAGTGAATTCAAGAACTCTCAGCTCCTCCCCCCTGCCCTGCATCATGGCTCTTTTTCTCGTAAGTCCTCGCCAAATGCTCTGGTATCTACGGCATTCATAAGTATTAAGCACATTCCTGTCTACAGTATTGTCCGTAGTGTATCTATACATTTTACTAGTGCCTACCTAGATATAATACTTGTGTATGGCATGAAAGAAAATAGGATCCTATGATATTGCCTAGGTAATGATGCTGCTAAGGAAATTTTGCATCGGTCTTCTATTTTTACCTTGACTGCTTCACGTAATCGGAGTGACACCTGAAAGAGCTAAATTTATTGTCACATCAAGCTTTACTTTAGATCTTATTACAGTCTCTTACAAGATGTGACTCTCCAATCTCAGTTGCCATTTTGAGATTTATATCCTTGATCAGGTACTCAAGTACTACTTGTCGTACAAGATTACGAAATGCTCTAAATAAACCGTCCTGTCATGTGCATTTGTCAGCAGGCGATCTGGGCTAATCTAGGATCAAATTTCCAATTTCGTGATATTAACTATGATTAAAAATTATGTCGCAACGACCGATCCCGTAACCGTGACTCTGTCGACAGACCCTGTTGGTAGGCTGCGCAGTAAGCGCATTGGGATCTCGCCCCTCCTATGGGTACCACCCGCAGCCGTCATACGGGAAGCACAGCTACTGCGACCCCCGGGCCGCACCCGTCTGCTCCAAGAATGGCACCCTCATGTTCTGCCTCGAGGACACCGAGTATCCCCTCTACGACATCAAGGTGAGCTCGGACGATCATCTCGACTTCTCCACATGGTCATAAGCAATCAGGAAACAAAGTTGTACCCCTCATTCACCGGATTTTGATAAATGAAGTAGTTGAAGTCACTTCTTTATTTTTGTTTCCTGCTATTCTTGATGTTAAAACGGAGCCCCAAACATAAAATTCCCTTTGGAGAGCATGTTCGGACCGTTAATGCCATAAGTAGTATCGCTATTAACAACATGAGGTTGCTGTCTAGTTTCTCGCTTAACCTTTATATGAGCTATTCTCATTATATAATTTAAATTATATTATATAAAGAGAATAGCTCTTTATAATTATAATTTAAAATTAAGCCTACAAATTCTGTAGGAGGACAAAGATTTTGATAAAATCGCCATGTTTGTTAACGTTATTATAACGCGTTTACCTGATGAATTTCTGCTATTTCGTGATTCGTGATCAAACTAACACACGAATAACTAATTCGTTTGTTAGTTTGATGTAACTTGATGATTGATAATTGATTGATGCTTGCTGATGCATAGGGAGCGATCAGCAGCGACCCGCTGTTCGCCAAGAAGTTCTCAGATCTGCCAAAGCAAAGCGCCGATGACCTGGTCGAAGGACTGACAAAGGAGGAGGAAGATGCCTTCGATTACTCCTTCTACACAGGGGCATCCACTGGGAAGTCCCCGTACGATGTCACCCACTGGTCTGGTCCGGCCGGGTAAGGAGATATTGCTTTTTACAGTATATTTTAAAATAAATTTTTGCAGGGAAAAGTGAGATTGAGAGTATGAATATTTTACAATGCGTTTTTTTTATTTGTTGCAATGTAAGGGTGTCGTTAACATGGCGGAAGAGTTTGAACACCAAATTAAAAACTAAAATGTTCTTATTTTTTGTATTGTTCTTCAGAATAAGAACATTATCGTGAGGTAATGAATGAATTTAAAAGCAATTAGCACGTGTTGAATTGGAAGCAAACGGATTACGAGAGATAAAACCAATCGTATAACGGATGTTTTTTTAATTTTCTGGTTTTTGCTTTCTTTCTGATTTTCGTTGATCTCGGGCTCTCTCCCGATTTTAGCTACATTTGCCCATCAGAAGTGGTCTACTGCAAGCCACGCCGTGCCAAGAACGTAGCCGGGGAATGGCGCGTGATCGTGAACGACGACCACTATTACAAGCAGACGCTGCGAGTGGAGACCTGTGAGCACCCCGATGCCGCTTGCCGCCTCGTCCCCATCTGCGTCAAGAACAAATGCACCCAGAAGTACGTCTACCACCGTCTCCTGTCCTTCGACCCCTGCGATCCCTACAAGGGGCTCTTCATCGACGTCTACCGCTTCCCGTCCGCCTGCTCCTGCCACATCATGGCTTGAGAATGAGTTGATTTGGAAGCTACCGTCGGAGATTCGCCGTCGAGTCACCCGTGTCCGTCAGACATCGTCGCTATTCGCTCGCTCGCTCGCATGCACAGGGGGCAATGTCGGTTCGAATTCTCTTAAGTTGGCTTCTGAGTTTGCTCTCCTTTCTCTTTCTCGATTCTAGTCCACGTGGCGCGAGGTGCTGAGAGTTCTTGATTCCTGCCAAAATAAAGCCTTCTTCCTCACATCCATGTAGTTTTCATTTTTCTACAGCGTTCTTCTTGATTAAATAAAACAAAAGGGGAAGATGAGGTTCCGCGCTCAATCTCCCAGATGTGTGCCTATCGTATAGTAAACGAGAAACTTTTATCAACGTATGCGAAGATGCCACTGCTGAAAGCTTCATAACATTTTTGCAAGTCAGAGCTCTAGTAAGATTGACACGGAAATGTTTCATATAGTAAATGTATGCTAAAATATGTGAACTCAGGACATATGATAAACGACACTTCTTGGATGGAGTTAAGGGGCTATAGTGCATGCATAATGCTCAAACATCAACATATGGGCTATCCCTCCAGTACACTAATGGAACGCCGAAATTATGAAAACCGAAAGCTTGATAAGTGAATGCTGAAATGTCAAAGTGAAGAAAAATTCGAAGGTGTTCCCCCCCCCCCTCAGAGGTGGCATGATTCCGAAATGGAAATCAATGCCAGAAACTTTTCCTTGGTGATGTCAATCTTCACAAATTGCCACTATCGTAAAACTTGATACAAGTGCTTAAAGAAAGGAAATAATAAACGTGGTCTGTTGCAGTTGTCTAGTCACAATTCTGAGAGACGATTCTGCTGACTTTCCTCCTTCTGGGTGCAATTTCCCTTTTCCAAGCAGGGAAGCTTCATCTGAGAGTTGAATTCCTCTTTCTAGAGTTTTTTTGATGAGGGTGAAAACCTTTCTTACCCTCGTATGTTCTCATGTAAAGAATGTCAGAGCCGAACGCCGTTAAAACATTATTTTTATCCTAGCTTCGCCTTCCAACACCTGTCCGTAACAATCCAGCAGAAATTGGAGCGACTGGTCCACATCTCGGACGACCTCTCGATCCAGGAAGTCTATATCGGGAGGGGGGAGGGGAGCGACGACATATGAAGGAATAAATGGGGAAAAGGAGAAAGAGGCAGATGGAGTTTGCGGGGGGAGGACATTGCCGAGTCCAGGAGGATCTCTATGGCATCAGGCAGTGACACATTGCATAAAAGATGGCTCGCTACTACAAAGCCCGATAAAGAGGAAGAAGCCGGTTGAATGATTATGTTTTTGGCACACGACATGTAGACCTTTCACAGCAGTCAACGTCTGCCTCCTGCACCATTTTAGTTTTTTTTTTCTTGGCATTCCTTCGTTGACTTCGTCCTTCCTTCGCGCCAGCCACCAGCTCGCCGTCTCCAGGCATCGTTCCTCTCCTCCATCTTTTGTCAGTCCTCCTAATTTTATCAGTATCATCTCTTATGGTCCACTCAAAAGATATTCCTTACTGGACCGAGCTTCCCCCTAATTCAAATTTTTGCTTCCATAGTTTTCGAGTGGTGGAGACCTCTCGAGCAGGTCAGTTGGCCACCATGCTGCCCAGTCTCATCAACGCATTATCCAGTAACGTCTCAAAATTGGAACGTTGGCAATTTTTGTGCGTGGCGAGCACTACTCATGATGTAGGCATGGCTAAGCCCTTGCTCCTTGCGTGTGTGTCTCGCGTCCCTGAGAGCAATCTTGGAAACGTTTGTACAAATGTGCTAAAAGCCACATACGTAGAGACAATTTGTATAGGTGACAAACTTCAACTGGCCTCGGATGACAAGTCAAAGATGAGGCGAATATCATGGAGCAAGAAAATAAAAGCTAAAAAATTGTATTAAATTCTTATTTTTAACACGAAAAGTACCGGAGCTGTCATTTTGACCGCTGGTTATTTTTAAATGCAACTTACTCCGTTCGTCTGGCAACTAAGGGCCTGTGCATCTTCGACTTTTCCTATATCTAAGTATTCAACATCCTGATACAGCAGTAGACCCAAGGTTGCAAAATCAATGGAGATATAACACGTTATACCCAGAACTATCGGAGCGGTCATTTTGACCGCCATAGAGAAATCAATGTATTTGGCTTAGTGAGCAACTGTCTAAGTTACTGTGAGTCTACGTCCGTCCTACCATATTCATGCGTTCAACTTGCTTTGATCACGTGAGCGACCTGCCGTGATCACGTGAGGGACTTACTGGGAAAACTTGCCTTTTGCTTGGAGCTGAATTTCAAAGCTACGCGCACGTCTTGCATCTGCTTCAGTAGGATACTTTTTCAGACAAGTTGGGATTAATTTTTCCTGCAACTTATCTGCTGTATCTGTATCTGTGTATCTGCTGTGAAATTTTATGCGGTGGAAATGGATAGACCAAGAAAACAACGTGATACTGCACTGCAGTGCTTGCAGCTATTACCGGACTTACCTGAAGCTGCATCCAGAAACTAAAATGAGATAGGCCTAAATGACGATGAAAATTACTATGATCATGATGAGGGGAACAAGACGCACGACAGCTGTGCCGTGTGCTTAAAAAAAGGCAGTGTGGGGCAAGTGCTGTGCACACGTGCAGAGTAAGTATCATGCTTATATTGATTCCATAAACACCTAGACTCTACAAAGTACTGTACATTGCCAAATGTCCTTTTCAACATTCCACATAGTGTACTAAAATTTTTGAACAGATCCTTTTTTTCCTTCAAATTTAGTCCTGTTGTGCACGAACAACTTAAAAAATTAAATTTTTATAGAATAATGCTTTTATACGATTTTTAATTAGTGGTCAAAATTACCCCTCCGGTAGTTCTAGGGATATACGTACCCTCAGTACTTCTAGCGTTAAATATTATTATTGTACTACGCAATTAAATTATTTTTAATGATTCTAATATTTTAGTGCAATACAATATAAAATAACGTTCAAATAATATTAACTCATTAACAAACAGGCAGCATACAAATAAAAAAATAATCAGATAAATGTTAATATTAATTAAAACAATGATACTCTCCATTACTCTCCAAATGAGATGAAATGGACTTAGGAATACGACGAATGGAATCTCGAGATCGTCAGCGGAATGTAAAGATTTTCAGCGGACAAGTTTTCCTTGAAAAGTAAATATCCGAATGCAAACGCGAAGTTGAAGCAATTGCGCATGAAAAAAGACAGCCTCACTTGCAGCATATTTCGCAATAGAGTGGATTGAGAGCGCAAATCATTCGCTTTTCCGGAGGTCGTTATTACGGGGGTGGGGGGGGGGGGGGGCTCATACCAGGAGGAGGAAGATGGTTTTTCATTTTCCAAGCCATCAGAACTAAAGGGACCTCGGAAAAGCCTAAAATTCCACCCCCAATCCAGTCAACAGTGGAATATATCTCCCTTATCGCTGAAGGAGCTCGCGATCTTGATCCTGTTATCATCCATCCCTAATGTGAGAGTACAGGGTGTCCCATAAGTCGCTATACCATTTCAGAAAATTACATTTACTAAACAGTTGACACGAGAAAGAAGTAACATTAACCAAACGACAGCATGTCACTTGTAATTCTCCAAGGATCATCCATTTTTTGTCCAAATGACAGACTATAAGGAGGAACGCCGAAATCCTAATAGGGGTGCCGAAAATGATCCTTCCATGCGCAAATCCAGCCGATGTTCTGCGTGCCGAAAGTTCGTCCTGAGCGCCAATTTCCAAAAACTCAACTCTATTCGCTATCCATCATAAAATGTGATAAATTGTTTCGAAAATAAACTACAAAGCGCTTAAAGGGGGATTACTTGAGGTACAAAGCCCTCTAACAACGGAATATGTCACTCATGCCAAGTGTGAGAGCATCTTGGGACATTTGCTAACACGCGCCGTAATTGCCTGTCATTTTCGCTGCTCCTTCATTCTGTTGGGAGCGGTCCAAATGGAGAGCATGCGAGCGTGACTATTCCTGTCGAATGCGCGTACTTTCCAGTGCGAATTTCGGTTTCCGATTATTTTCTTTCATGCGACGAAATACGGGTAAGGGGAGATGCTGAGATACAGATACGGGATATGGATTATGAACTTTCTGAACGCTGGAAGCCCTGAATCCCATCTGCGTGCCGAAAACCGAAACCTCGACGCCCATACTCACTCTCCGTTTGAAACAGAAAAGGGTAAATGCGCCAAAAACGAATAAAAAATAAAGAGATATATACAGGGTGGGCACAAAGTTTCTCACGAAAAGCAAAATTCTGGAGGCTTAATTCGAAAAGTAGTAGCAGTTGAAATTATATTATATTTCAAATTTAACCTATTACCTTGGCCAAGTCTTGGTCAAAACGAGACCCCCACCCCCCCAGCCAAGTAAGGGTTAATGCACGCGCGTCTCTCACATGCCTGCGACGCGGATGCTTCAAAGCAACTATCATTCGTCCGAGTCTAAGTTTTTTCTTCGATGAAGAAATTTCTAGGGTTCAATATGCGCATTTGAATGTTTCTTCGCCTGCTGTAGTTCTGTCCATGGACTTTTAAGCAATAAATTTCTTATTTAAATTCATGCTTGTACAATACAAGGCGAAGATGAAATTTGTCAGTTTGGAAACGCAGAAGTACAGTAGATGAAAAAAAAAAAACCGCGACCAATCGTTGCGGTAGGCCCAGGAATATCGTTTGATTGGAATGCGCGAGTCTGCGTGGAATGTAGTTCCTCTCTGGTCCACTCCATAGAAAGAATATTCAGGTTACTGAAGCGTGTGAGGCAAGCAAGAGGCTTAGATTCGTTATGTCCGTATGCTCACCGTGTCACGGGAATGATTGAGTCGTCGAAGCGCAAAACAAGGACCGAAATGGAGGTTTGATAATCCATAGTGCTATACTAGTCTCGCAATTTGCAACAATTTCCTGACGTGTCTATGAAACGAGGTGTGGCGTAGTCACTAATTGGAATGCTTCAACTCCTTCGACAAACCCCTTACATCAGGATATTTCCATGCTCATCAAAATGTCTCAATGCTAGAGAGGAAGAAGGAGGAATCTTTCCGCGAGGTTTTTGCTGGCGAAAACTTGGGGAAAACTGGGAAACTGATTAGAATCCCGATTCGTCGGTTCCGCAGTTGACTGTGCGTTTGTCGCCGTTGCGTTTGGAAAGCCAAGGCTGATTCAACGCATCACACGGCATGTTCACTTTCGCTCAGCTTAAAATCCACTTGTCACGTCATTTTTTATGTCATAAGTGTGTACTATCGTCTGCTGGAAAACAATCGTGCAATCGGAAAGTTGAAATGCAAACCTATTTCATTCGAATCAAGATTGCTCCCTTGCTACATCAAATCATAATAACTTTGATTAGACGCTTATTCCACCTCGGAATCGCCAGTCATACATGTCATCGAAATTACAGTGACTTCTCATGAGTGGCAGAGGTTATGGAATATTGAAAGGACATGATATTACCATTTGACGAACTCGTTGAAGGCCAAAACGTGGAAAATTTACTCCGGAATTTGAGGCGGTCCATTTCTTCCCCCTATTGAAGATCTCTCAGTCGACTCGCAAGGAGTTTCCACAATCGTCGTAAGGAATTGGAAGACTCTTGTTCGCTTTCGCCTTCCGTTCAATTCCCACCCTATTGTGACGTCCTCGAGGGGTTCAGGCAGTCTATTTCGTTCGTGTTGGGGTTACATGATAGGAAATTATGAGTCTTCCTTCGAATGAATGGAATTCTTGACAAAAATTAATTCGAAGGATGTCCGCGGCATGGATATTGGTGCGATTTCCATCGTGGAATGAAGCCAGGGAGATGGGTGGAGCTAGGACGTTACGACAGAATCAGTGGCGTGCCAGATGGAGGTGGGAAGGCTGTGTCCTACCTGTCTTTAGGGATGAGTGGGAGGGGGGGGGGGGGATCCACAAAATGTTGAAGCTAATGCGAATTAGAAGTGTTGGGTGTTTAGTTTAATTTTTGTATTCGTGCAATTCAATGCTGGAATGATGAAGCAGGACGAGAATGAACATAAAGGCCAAAAGCTATCCTCCGTTAATCCTGGCATATTTGAGCAGTAGTGTAGCCATCGGAAGATGATAACAGGAACACGATATGCATGCAGTGGCGTATTAAAGGGAAGGTGAGGGGGGGGGGGGTATGATTCCTTTCTACTGTATATGATTCACTTGCGGAGCTGTCATAGAAGTACACGAGAGGAAAGGAAGATTTGATAACGTTCTGAAGGCTGCCAACCGATAGACGCGTGGGGCCACTGCCTCCTCCTCCCTCGCTCCTTTGCTCCAGCTCTATGTGCTCAGCACTCCTTCCCCCTTCTTTAGGGGTAAGAGGATTTGGAACCCCGATAGACTCCTAAAAATGAGTTCCTGGTGACGCCACTGAGTATCCGAGATGAAAGCGAGGGCGAGTGGTCATTGGGTTGAGGCTGCTCCACTTGGCACGCTACTGCTTGGAATCAGCGGAGAGCGGGATTACGTATCTCGACTTTCCCTCTTCTTGCCAATACTCTGCCTCTCTGGCAGTACGAAACGAGAGAGTGAAGTGCGTGCTGAGGCCTGATCCTGTAGCCACTAAGCGCTCACAAATAGTTGTAGGTGTCGCGTAAGGAAGAGCCTGGGAAAATCCCCGGCCCATACTACGTCTATGGCAGGGTAAGTTGCTTTATGGGGTAGTATTTCACGACTATACCGGTTTGGGCCGCGTTTTGCTTGGAAAGTTTTTGGATTAAATGTGCTTTTCTATGAATAGGAGTGAATAATTACTTTCGGACAAATGTCAATTTCATGTGATTTGGATTTATTTCGCCTCCTGAAGTGAATATTGAAAATCCAAGACAAACAAAACACATTAAAGTCTCTCAGTTATTTCTCCACCAAAGCTCATCCGAATACTGTAAATGAGAACATGTGGGAGTGAAACTCCGTATAAAATCTGTAGAACTCTCGTTTTTGAGGCTCTTTAGCGTCGCCTTGGGGAGGAGCTGCATGGCATGTCTTGCATCACAATTTTATTTGAATTTAAAATATTTTTTTTTCTTATCCACGAAGAAGCGTTTGGAACTACAATCCACGCTGCTCGAGCGCGTTGAATAGGTGGTTGATACGTGTCTGTGAACTGTAACCTTTAGCGTCATCCCATGACCTGTGAACTTCAATTGATTTTGATGCACACCACTAGGGGGTTCTCAATACCGATCAATTCACTCTCGGTGTTGCTTTTAGAAGAATATAAACTCCCATGGATCGATCCCTAATATGGATTCTCACAGATAAAGCGAAGAAGTGAATATTGATTTAAGTTGGTAAATCTGCATCACTTGCTGGTGGAACCTATACGACGGTTTCCTCAACTCAACCGTCTCTTATCTTTTTCCCTCCTACACTCCTAAGATGGAGCAAACCCATGGAATCCACCATATGAAATATCGGCGCAGACTCATGGAAACGCAGCGTCACGGTGCGGTGTCCACTGCCTCAACATTACCAGCTGAGAAAGATTCGATAGGACTTCTTGTCCGGACCTAAGCTTTGGACTGGAACGTCCACAGAGACGGATGCAAAGTGAATACTTTCCAAATTCAAAGAGTTCATCTTAATTTTATTGTCCATAGAAATCTTTCAATGGCTCTTGGAGTGGAATGTGCAACAGCATGTGATGAAAACGAGCAAAAGATCCAACCATGGAGCGAAAGCCAGAGGGATCTGGATCGGGATCACGTGTATCGCCATAATGATGATGATGATGATGATAACACAAGAATGATGCATATTGTCTCTTTTTTTACCTCTGTCCAGCGATTTCTCTTGCCAACAACACCGTCCATACAGCCTCGGACAATCTGTAGCATTTGAGTGTTTGTCCAAGATATTCTCCCATGCTAAAGGCCACAAAATCCGGAGGCGCAGATGCAATGGCAACGATGTAGGGACGATGCATCATGTGCCTTGTCTACACTCTTATCTTACGATTGCTAACACTACGATTGTCAGTGTTATGTTTGTCAGTACTATCGACTCATGACCGACCATACCTAGCGCGGACGGAAGAAAATATTACTATGTTAATGTCAGTGATAAATCTTCTACGATGTCAGTGAAGTGACAGTTAAGTTTGACGTCAGTGATAACTCGACTTATCACATAAATTGGACGGAACCGATGATCGTAAAAGGAGAGCATAGTCATCTGGGCAACCTCGCATGAAAGATGCCGTACGTAGCATTGATCTTTTAGGGATTCCTTTTCTGGGATTCCCTTATCGCTAGTCAATGATGGCTATTTCATACTCCTATATCATCAGAATCATCGAAGATTTTGATACCTAATATCATGGTGTAGACACACGATATTGTATTAATCATCTTGAGCATCATCATCTAATGATAAGAGTGTAGACAAGGCAATAGGAAGAGACTGTCGCTCTGGGCAAAGGTTTTTTTTTTAGTATATGCAAAATCTGTTCTTTTCTCTTATGCAAGTCTACTACCGCAAGAGCAGCGACATAGCACACAAACTGCAATCACAGACATGATAAGAAACCGTATACTGGCAAGGAAATGAAGGACATCGAACGTGAAAAATACTGCACTTCTGCAAACACGAAGGCATTTGCGTGCAGAAACATCTCAAGAGATTCTCTTTTTTTCTTCGATTTGTTTTTCCATGTAGCGCCCCCTTGAATCCATGTTGGATAGGAGTTGTTCAGATGAAGGAGTAGGGTCCATCTGTGAGGGCGCTACAATGCAATAGTCAGGAGTCAGCAGGTTTTCCCCCTCCGCCTCCGCCTCCTCCACGCGTCGGTTTGTACTCCATCCCAGGGTCAAATTGCATCAGCACGTACACCTGATACCGATCCATTTAGCTGGTAATATAGGTGCTTCTCTTTTTTTAAACGTTAATTTTTGTCTGCTTACCCGGTCAGAGGAGAGAAGAGAGAAATCCCCTGGAGGATTAGTAATGACGTATCTCTTGGATGAGGCATTCTCAGAACTTGAATTCGTGTCCCTAAGCCTGTAACGGGAAGGGAAAAAGCGGGATACCAAGAACTCCATTGAGAGAAGTCTAAATGAAGGATTAGGTCGGGCTGACAAAGCCAAATACAAAAAGGTTCATTCGAATGTCTGAATACGAGAAAAAGTAGGTCGCCAGAGAATGAAACCCTATTGCATCCATAAAAGTAAGTATTCGCAAAAGCCTATTCCTTTTTTACAAGCATACTCTTATGAACCTTTTCGCATTGAGAAATTTTAGTTGCCCTTCAGCTATCCAGCATCTATCCATGAAGTCATGCAAGAAGGAATCTTCTTCGCTTCTTCTCTAGCTTCTACGTCCTATTCACATCAAATACAGTTCCTGCGTATAGCCATTTCCCCGGAGGATGGCAAACATTTTGTTTCGATAGTTATAGCAGCAACAACAGCATTTATGTATCATGAGTTATGAGGTAACAGGGATGATCAAAATACAAGGTTGACATATAGAGATAACTAAAACCTAGGACTACAGCTACAACGACAACAAATAATCTACGCTTCAAGGGTCATGCACGATAAGGCGATCTAGATATCAACTCTACACTGTGTCTCCAAGGAGAGCATCAAATCTACAGACACTACAGTAGATCTACTAGTACCCTTTCGTACCTGTCTGGTTCTTCTCCAAAATTTAGGTTGAGGGTTCTGGGCAAGGAGGAGAGAGAAAGAAAGGAAAAGAGAAAGAGAAAGACAAAGTACATTTCATTTCATGACTTAAAAAGCATGGACAACAATACCCCACACCACAATATCAATGACACGTTGTCCAGCCAAAACAAAAGAAGAAGCGTCGGGGGAGTCGGACATAGAAAATTGGAAAAACAAATTATTTCACTCGTGAGGAAAAGAGATTAAATGAAGGTTATGAAGGCAGAGTTTAGGAATGTACGATGAATGTTCTGGTCGTCTGTCTATGACACTACGCCGTTGTCTATGTCGGTGCTTCTTAGACCCACTAAAGAGACGCTAGATTTGACTAAGGATCTACCTATCCCATGGGAGATAATTGAGTTGTGTGGATGGGGAAAGGGAGAGGGCTAGACCTGTAGAGTCCGATGCAGAGCATGCCGTAGGTCCTGAGGGCGGAGACGAAGAGATCGCCATACTTGCCGTTCCCTCCAAACCGGGCCAGAGGTCCGTCGTGTAAGGAGATCATCCCCACACGACACCGATCCCGGTTCGCTAGGCTCTCGGGTGTACTGCCATTCAAGCACACAAACATATTCATCCATGGGTTTTAACAGCTTCATTGCACCACCAGGAGAGAAAATAATTATAACTGTGTGAAGTCCATTCCCTATGCGCAAAACAGCAACAAAAAGGAGGAGAATTCAGGTGGTTCCGTTCTCGAGAAAAGGTTAATGGAATTATGATAATAGGCAACATGTCCCAGGCTGATTCAAATGATATTGGTTCACTTACCAAAGGGCTTCTAAGGGAATAACACTAATGCAAGGTATCGATACTCATTTTAAAAAATCAATAAAGAATATGAATAATCTTTCCATCTTTACAAAGCATTTGGATTGAATTGGCGATTATTTTGCAAACTTTACAACTACAGCATTTGGTGGAGCAGTCATAAAATACTGTACAACTCCGAGAAATCGTCTCTGTCCTCTGCACCATCTCGCACAGGTATATTCCCTTATTTTTCTTGATTGCTGTTTATCCGACACAACGACGATAGCAAGTTACTTGTCCTTGAAGAGATGCCAATATCTTCGATCTAACGGTGCACATCGTACACTACCCACAGAAAGGGAAACCGCCAGGGACAAGAACGGACTATACCAGGTCGAGAGGGCACAGGAAGCAGAGAGGTTTTTTCAAGGAAAGGTAAACTGTTCAGATGAAGTGAAATAAGTTCATAAGGAATGGAGTGAGACCTGTATCCCCCACGAAGTCCAGCTCCTTCGGCTAGGATTAGCTCCAATTCCGGAGTAGCTCCACCAGTTATGAGGGACCGAATCATCGTCAGGGCATTTTGATTGAAGTACGTCTACAAATTACAGAAGGATATTACATTCCGCTGTCATCAACATCATCTGTTAGAAAGATTAACCTCAAGTAACAGAAACGGAAAGCCGTACGGTCGACATGAGGGAGTCGAGGACGGAGACGGCAAAGGCCGTCCCACATGCGAACGGCTGGGTCAGGTACAGCTCCGTGTCCGGGTCGTCGTCATCGTCCTGGTCCAGGAACTGCACGTTACTGTCATTCACCAGCTCTGTAATTAAATCAACAGCCGCAGCTCAATCTCCGGCATACCTAATCGATTCGATGGGAGAAAGGAACAATTTTACCTGTGATCATGGGGACATTGCTGCCATAGACGGAGCCCCTTCTCTGGAGCACGATTGGACTCCCCACCGTTCCCAGACCTGCGTTACCTGTGTTCATTTTTTTTTATCAACCCATGGCGCGAGTCGCGAACCGGAGAGACAATGAAGGGAAAGGGAATTGAAAGTACTTTGTGAGAGGACGCCGATGGTATCGTCAAAGGTCATGGCCTTGATATTGAGGGAAGCAAGGATGGCCTCTTTGTCCGCCAGGGTCGGGTCATCGTTGCTCGGAATCTTCGCCGACAGGATCACACACATGTCGCTGAGGTTCACGTTCACAGCTCGCAAGTCAGCTCGACTTAGCGGCGACCCCTGTCACAAACGCAACCCTTTAATTTTTTCCCTGCCCTGATCTTAAGAGAGATGCATGGCGATTGCCTCTCCACTCACGTTGAGGATGGAAATTTTAGGGAGGTTCTGGATCATCTTCCACTCTCGTCGGATGTAATCCACAGAGCCGACGATCACAACATGTTTCAGCTCATGGTAATGGAAATTTGAGGCCCTCAATGGCATCACCAGGTTCCTTAGTCCCATCAAAGGGGAATCTGGGTCCGCAAATAGGCACACCACAACATGCCCATTCAGCACCGTCATCGCCGCCTGATTTCGATCCTGTCGCCATGGAAGTACGAAAAGAAATTCATGAAATTTCTGCTCTTAATGATCGTCATTGGAAATCAGTATGAGAGAAAACGGGACTGCTTAAATGGATAAAAATGAGATCAAGATCTTGAAAGCAATCATTGAAGGCAAGATATTGAAAGCAACACCGCCTTTACACGGGTGGATATTGCTTTCAACATCTTGCCGAGAAGTTCTAATGGAATGTGAGCGCGTGTGACATGGCATCGCCCGAGAGTATCAGAAGAAAAGTGGCGGTGGCCATCGGGTGCACTCACTCTGTAAACAAATTACAGTAAAGCCTATGTAGCCTAGGGCGGTAAAGTCATAGCAGCTCTTCTTACCAAAAATATCAAAATGAGAATTGATGTTTCTGATCATACTGGAAGGGACTGGTTCGTTAATGTGTTGTGAGTGCTGAATATCCCAGAGCTGCGGCTGCTCCCGGTCTAGTTCGATAAATCTTCCCCTTCATAGGCGTTCCACTCCCTTGCCATTGTTGATTTTGTATAGGTACGTTAGGTAAAAGCTGATGAAGAGCCTAGTCAAGAGGGGGGATGAAGCTGTCAGAAATGGAGATCGCCATGACTGTAGACGTCACGGATCTCAAACTTCTCCTAGGTCATTTCCATTCAATATTGCCTTCAAGACTTGAAGAGTCCTTCAAACATGGCTACATAGCAATATTGAAGGGAAGTTAAATCCGGCTGAACTCGGTAATATTGAAACCAGCTTTACACCGGCCAAGTCTTGCCTTCAATGTGTGTGTGTGTGTGTGTTTTAAGATTCGCTCTAAAGACGTGTAACCCCACCTCAGTCCCCCCCGCCCACTTCCCTCGAGTTTGCTGCGCAATCAAGAAATTACATAGGAATATGATATGATTATAGAATAACTGACCAAAATACATTCCTCCATGGAACGAGCAGGGCACCAATGGAACATCCCCGTTGAGTCGTACTTCATCTCCATCTTCTCAAAATCGAAATCCTGGGCTTGATCGTCGGCAATCCCAACCTTGAGCCCTCCACCATTTTGATTCGAATTATTCCCACCACTACTCCGACTTGTCGGCCTGTTTTCATACAGATCATAAAAAATATCCTCGTCAAAGCTGTTTCTGTACTGAATGATAAAATGAAACTACAATGAGTGCAAGTGAAGGTGCGAGTGCAACATTATCATTTGGCGGGGTAAAATAGGACATATAGACAAGACAGAGGGGAGACATACATGAGTTTCTTGATTTCGTAGGAAAGGTGATAGCCAGCATAGGTAGAGCCATCCGCATTCATCCTGTGAGATAAAAGGTGAAGTACTGGGAAGGGATGGCATTCAAGTTAGTGTGGTTAAAAGGGGTGGTTATCAAACTCAAGTTGAAGCGTGAGTCTGAGGGGTGAGATAGAGTCACTGGAGTGTGGTTAGAGGGAAGGAGGACGACTCTTACGTGTTGGAAGCTTCGTGATTCTGTTTCCCGTGACTCTGGTGGTTAACGGTCTGGACTCCGGGCTTCGTTCCAGGCTTTTGCAATGCCACAGCGGCCTTCAACAGCCCTTTCCCACCTGCTTCCCATATGATTGCCGTCCACATATCACATTCCATTCGGCAAACAATATCAGCACAAACAGTTTAAAAATAGACAGGGATCCAGATAACTCACTTGTTGATTCGTGCTCTTTTCCCAGTTCAGCTATAAAGGAGCAGCATATTTCTAGATTAGATACAATTCGAAGATCGCTAAAACAGCACGGTTGCACACAACAGCGATGAAAGAGAACACCATTGTACTCCAGCATGCAAAACCATCCAGTGATGAAGAGAAATCTTACCGTTTCGCCCTTCACCGGCAAGAAAATGTGAACATTATGGGTATTTCAAAAATGTGTATTGTCAATGTCATCTAATAATAGTTTAAACATTGTACAATCAAAGTTCAAGGGTTCACCATAATTTTTCATTTTTAGATTAAAGGTGCTCCATGAAACACTCAAGTAGCATTTGCAGAGCTCATTTGCTGTCCTGCTTTGCACTCAAAATGATATATTCTTCATTCGTCGAGTAGTTTGGGCATAAAGACGTAATTTCGTCAAATCTGCGTGTTTGATCTGTATTGTATGACATTGGTATCGAAGAAGATACAACACCGGGATCCGGCATTCGAAAATTTCTGCCCATGAGCAAATGTCATTAGTTTATTTCCTCCCTGGGAGAACTGAAGAGAAGCAATAACAGTAATTAAAAAAAAACTATATTGGCTGATTCCATTCATCTGTTCAATAAACTGAAATGAAGAGCATACACATGCTCCTGTGATCCTATTATGGAGGGTCTACACAATTATGATTACGTTTGATGCGTAAATTGCACTACAGACTCTTCTGCAGATGGTGCTAACGCGTTTCGTGGAACATCTGGAACGCAGAAAAAGAAGATTGAAACATGAGGGTGAATCCTGGAGCCTTAATAATTCATAAACCATATAGCATTTTCAACCTTGATGAGATCCCTCGTTGGGATACAGGAGGTACAGAAGGAAGAAGGTAAGAAGAAGCGTAAAGTGAAAATGAGTCTTGTTGAAAGAATTTTTCAAGACAACGAGAGTAACAAGTGGTCTTCGTCAAGACGCATTTGATATGAGACAATTTAATATGTCGATGAATCCTCTCGGCCTGTACTGGAATGATCCTCTACATACTCACAATGATGATGCATAGACTTCCAACATCTACTCCTGGACAAAAACTGGCCTTTTTTGCTTGACTAAATTTGAGCTGTGCAGCCATCATTGTACCATCGCAATCGGTTTGATTCTGAGTGATGGACGATGGCCACAATGCATACTCATGTGCATGCTCCTGCTCTACATGCATTCATACGACAACCTACGGATGATTCTCGGCATGAAATATATTATCCTTAATGTGGCCGTGAGAGAGAACGTGCATGGAAAAGAGAGACGGACGATAGACAGAAGGAGGGACAGAGCAAAAAGACTGAATGTTCAGAAAGATAATACAGCGATGATGATAAGGGACGTACTTGCTCGGCTGACCATTTGCACTGCCCGGACGCCTTTTCTAAACAAGGCCACTACGGGATGAGAGAGACGGAAGAGACAGGCCAAGCAATGAAGAACGGGGTCCAACCACACAGACAAGGGAGAAATTCCAAAGAAAAATTGCAATCAGTCAGTCCATCCATGTTACTTAATCAATCCATTCATATGATTCAATCAATCAATGGAATAAGTTCTACGGTTAGTGAAATTGTGGCTTATGACAAGTGCGAAACTATGTGCGTCATGAATCATGTAACTCTAAGCACGATGCAGCTTTCAAAAACGAAAAAATAATGAAGAGAAGCAGTGGGGAAACGGATTAAGAGAAAGAGATGTTGTTGTACTTACGGTTTTTACACTTGCATTTCTTGATGGACGTCTCATCCTTGATGTCGTCGTGGCACGCTTTGCAATAGAACCAGGCCCTGCCATCAAAACATGATCAAAGCTTATTCCTGGGGACTTTCCAGCTTGAGAAACGATAAGACGCAAAGGCGAAGGAGCGACAAAGGGACGAACCTTTTGACCTCATCGGCGGACTGAGCAATAAAGAACCCTTGCGTGTGTGGCAAGATGCGAGCACCACGGGGGTTGATGGAGATCTTGGAATCACCCCCATCTTCCCCCTTCAGTTCGATGGCAAGCAAGAGGAGCTTGAGCTTGGTGAAGCACAATCTGTGCGCATGGAAAGAACCCCACGGGGAAAGTTAGAATTGCAACCGACTCCACATATAAGAATGACTGAAGCAATTATGGAAAATTCCGAATTAAGTGACGCCTTGCATCCATCTCGCGATCATCATCACCGCATTCAATTGCTATCACTTGATATTTTATGGCTCTTGCATCTAATTTCAGTACACATAACTTCCTTCCCCCCCCCCCCCCCCTCCATTTTCGGCGACTGCACAATTCAAATATTGATTACTTTCTAATGAGAAATATACTTCTAACTTAACGAGCTGACTAGAAAATTGGATTGGTCTGGGTAAGGTGCGCAAATCTAAACCGCTTCATCGGTCGGTCCCTACGGAGCAATGATTTCAAATAGGAAGAACGATGCAGCTTCCGGCAATTGAAGCGTAGCGTCATCGGTAATCAAAACATTGAAGTGAATTGACTTAATTCCGAAGAACCAAGTACGCCATCCGTCTCTTTATCCATATTTCATGAAAACATGCCAAGGCAGAGAAAAATCTTTCCGTGTTTTTCGATCAGGCAGCTTCACGGAAAATTGAATTGCATGGAATTCCAGTGATTTCTCATGCATAATAGTCTGATCTCCCGCAGAGAAGCAACAAAGCTATATTAACAAAAAAAATTTCGTTCGTGCAGAATTCCAGTTCTTCATTCTTCTACCTGTGGGAGACTGAACTATTTTCATTTATTTTCAATGGCTGAAGGGAAAATGGAGACTGAAGGAGGAAATAGTATTTGCTCAATGTTAATATCTAGATTCTCAAACATGCATAGAAGGGAGGATAGGAAGAAAAAAAAAATTAAAAAGGGGGAAGGATAGAGAGAGAAAGAAAGAGAGAGAGAGAGAGAGAGAGAGAGAGACAGACTCACTCGGCAGCTTCAGGGAAAGTGAGTCCAGTGAAGGTGGGTGAGAGCGTTTCTGTGTACATTTCACAGCCTGTGCCACACAAGTATGCATTCTGCCACTCTGGCATATCTAACGACTGCAGTGGTGGTTCATTGGTTGGTTGGTTGGTTTGTGAAGATGCACCAGACCGGGGAAAGAGAGAGACAGTGTGTGAAAGAGAAGACAAAGAAACCAATGCAAACGAAAAATCATAATCAAGAAAGATCAGAACAGGGGTTTTATTAATTCTTCTCGTGAAATAACCCCTCATGCGAAAGAAGAAGAAAATATACGGCCCAGGGAAAGGGAGAAGACTTGCAGGGAAAACTCGTTAATTTCTTTTATTCCTTGTGACTTACTCAGCTGCGACAGAGAATGGCATCCCACTAAAGGCAGTAGAGAATGTCTCAGTATACATTTCCATTCCCGAGCCTTGGAGATAATCATTTTGCCATGCGCGTGTTTCGGGCTTCTAAAAGTCATAAAATCATCCATCCAATCATATATCACGGAGATCGTAGATCTTGGGCCTCAGATCAATTTTAAAGTCAAACAATGAATGAGCAACACAAAATTTTTTGGAACACCTGCTTAAGAACTTTTTTGCACAATTTCTGGTAAAAAGCCACAAGGAGTGCTTGGCGAAAAGAAAGAAAGAAATAAACGAATGATTTAAATATAAAATAAATACGAATAAAGCCTTGCCACAAAAGTGCTTTGCACCTGAAATCGCAGAACCTTTTAAACCAGAAGCCATAAGTACAAATTTACTCCCATGCACATAGGCGTAGGAACATTCTGGTAAAAATGGGGTGAGGCAAATGACTCAGAACAAGAGGGAGAGGGGATGCTGACGGGGATTCCCCGACAACACATGCCAGAACTCGATCTGTCACTCGAATATATCCATCTGACTGGTAAAAATGTGAGGCGACAAAGAGCGGAGTAAAACGGCAAAACTCAAACCTTCATGGGTTCAAGTTTCGATGTTTTACCCCGCCTTTTACCCTCAAATTTGATCATGTGGGAGAGACATTTGGCCCTTCCCCTGCTTCCATACTTCCTACGCCCTTGCCCATGCATATTCAAGGTATTCAAGAAGTAACGTCCCTATTTTGATTTCTAGTTCCTTTAAACTTGAAAGGTGAGGGCGACATAACTTCAATACTCTGCATACTTTGCTTCCATGGTACAGTTTACGCATTTAAAAACTAGCAAACGGATGTATACGCGTGCCACGTCTTGCCAAGCGTTTACGGTGAAAGAATTAGTTAAACTCAACGCGCTCGACAGTTCAGGATACGAGAATCAACGTCAATCGAAACCAGTGCTACTTCACTGAGGCATGGAAAGCGTTTTAGAATCTCAGTGAATATTGTGTCCTTTGGTGCATTGACATACATGTATTCTCAAACGACGTCGACGTGCCTTGAATAAAATCGCACAAATAATTTGTGAAATACTACTACTGATTGAATATGTTATATTGGCTGTAAGACCTGAAATCAAAACAAGGAAATTACCTTTGAAACACCCTGCGGAATTGGCATTCTCAGATTACAGTTGGTTAGTAGCAGTGGCGGCTCTTCATATTTAGCGCTTGTGGTTCGTCTATGGAAAGGGGGTAGGCAGTGCCCTTCCTTGTCTACCTCCAATCCATACACGAACCACTACCGGTAAATATCACGAGCCGTCACTGATTAGTAGGCTTAGAGTACATTGAGACATTTAGCTGCAAGCAAACATGAGCACAAAACACACACTTCCACACAAAACTGGTCACGACTTACAATAAAACTTCGGATTTACATGAACTTGTCTTTCCCTATCGGATAATTTTCCTTCGGTGACTCATGAAATAAATTATCGATATCCAAGTTTTACTAGTTTCATACTACTCTTAGAATTAATTCTCTATTGACCGTACCAGCACTTTACCTTCCTCTTCTTTACTTTAGTTGTGACTTCTGACTTTACTCTTTCCAGTAATTCGAGAACTTGACAGGAATTAAAAGCTGGTTTTTAAGGAGAAGAGCAGGCACTGACACCCAGCAAGACAAGACAAGGGAACACGGGTTAGCAATACAGCAATAAAGCAACACGACAGCTAGCGTTGTCATGGTTCTACCTCAGCATTTGGTTTTGCAGGGGGAGGTCCATTCTGGAAAAAGGAATCACACATATACGTGACAGTACAGAACTGTTTCTCACATTCTCATATTCTCTTTTTCACATTCACTCTCATTGCCATAATGCACAGCTAAGATCTACTGTAACAAGGGAAAAAGGCACTCTAGCAGTCTGTTCTAACACTACTCTCGTGCGTGTGAGCTAACTCTTTCTCTACCTGCACTCTTTCTAAGAGAGAGAAGCCCTCATGCTGGTTAGAGTGGAATCCTCACCGTTTTATAAGAACGCATGGCGAAGAGGTTCGCCATCATAGTGGAGAAACCGGGAGCAAGGCAACTTTGAGCGATGAATCCCAATTTGAGCTCGGCCAGGCAGATCACGTCGTCACCTCGCTTCCAGTCCCAACTTGGAATGTTCAACAGATATGCCTACATAGGATATATTAAGTGCAGATATAGGTTTACCCAACTTGTAGACGCGGATTCTACAGGGTGACACAAAAGTTCTGTACACTCGGTTATCTCAAGTTTTTATAACCATTTTTAAAGAACTCACAAATGGGGACAACACTATTAGAAACTACAACCATTTCAACAGATAATGCCCGCAAATTCATTCAAAATGACCACCTTTTGCTGTAACACAATCGCGAAGTCTCTTTCGGAATGCATCGACTGCGGTCCCCTAAGTCGCGCGTACCTTAAGCTACGTGTAGAAACCAAGCCAAGCATATATGAACGTGGTAGCTTAGAATCGAGAACAGTTTTTTAAAGTGTACAGAACTTTTGTGTCACCCTGTATAAAAGAAGAAGGCAGACGGAGTGAGACCTTGTTGTGGTATTGCATAAGCTGGATGATGACCCGAATGTCATCGGAATAATTCTTGATTGAGATCACTCTCATGATATTAGCGGCATCTTCGGCATCCGGGTCTTGGCAGTATTTATTGGCCAAGACGAGGCATGCGTCCGCCTCGTGCACCTGTTTCATCACACACACCCACCCATAGACGTACCTTTTGTGGCTCTAATCTACCTCTGAATCAGCAAATCCAGTTTAAGAATATGCACGGCAGGTCTTACTATATTTCTTTCTACTTCTTAAATTTTCACCTTTATTATTTGTGTTTTACATTGAAAAACAATCGAATTAGAAAGTAGGATGGCTGAGAAGTAATACCCATCTAATTTTTTTTTCATATCTCAAATTGCAGACAAGACATTATGGAAGCCAAAACATCTTAGGCGCAAGCAGAGCCTACCTACCATTTTCGGTTCCGCGTACAATTCTCATTCGATGTGAGAAGAGCAATTTGTGAGAAAAATTAGAATCGTAATTTCCATGTACGCGCAAACACTTTTCCAGCATATTCGCTTGTAAAGTAAAATTCGTCGATAACGGTATCTGAATGAGGCGGAAACTTTTACAATTCAGAATGTCTCCGCAGTCCTGTGAGTGAATTTTTTTTTACAGGTTTTCCTGTACGAGAACGTAGAGATGTTTTTAATAGAGGCAGCCATGAATTGCTAATAAACTGCTTAGCTTACAAGTATTACGGATTCCCAAGTGTCAAATCAGGCCGCTATTTAAACATTCTGCACCACAGGTACTATCACTTTTATTAATAGGGTTCCATCTTTGCGTGACACACTATAGTATATGTGAAAGACGGGAACATGCGTGCAATGAGAGAAATGCCTCCATGAATAGGTTATTACTTTTCAGCCTCCAAGTACTTCGTTATCTTACTGTATGTGTTGAATTACCAGACGGACCTGCGTGGGATTACCAAAAAACAACTTCATTGTAAGCCCAAGTGAAATATCACTTAATTTATGCTTCATAAAAATCCAATCAAATTCGTTCCAAATGCAAAGCATATGTGAGGAGATTCCAAACCGTCGGTCTTTGACGTCATGGACCACTATGAGAGAAATACATTGGGATATAGTTTACTAAGACCATCGCCGATCCTTGGTTGGGAATCCCCACAGCTGCCAACACAGAGGAAAGAGAGGGGGAGAGAGAGACAGAGAGAGAGGGGGAGTGCTCGAAGGTTACACAGAAGAATGACGGGGACGACAAATGGCAGGCAAACACAAGATAAGGGAACTCAAGAAGACCATGATCAAATGATAATATCAGTACCATGCTGAAGAGACAGAAACAGCTGAAGAGGAAGAGAGAGCGGAGGGTGAGTGTGAATGGAGGTGAAACCCAAGTCCATCTGCTATGATCAAGGTACAGGTATGTAGGAGCAGGGTGTGATCGTTAGGCGAATTTTGCGGTTGAATCAAAGTGCTCACCCTCGTAACTCATTCGTGACCCTTTGCCGTGTGCTTGTAATTAAATGAGGCAGGAGAGGGGAAAAGAGAACGAGACAAGAACACATGACGCCGAGGATACAGTGTCTTCCCGTGAATTCGATATCGCTCTTCTTTCCAGCTTATAAGTTTACTCCACGCATGGAAAGGTTCCCTTTAAAGACCTATAAATATCGATGTGGTTCTCTTCATTTTTAAACAGCACACATGGGGTCTCATCGACCGGAACTTCACGAAACGGAAGCTCTCCTATGATAGTACGCCTTCTACCTTTCTATGCAGCCTTTGTGTCAAAACCCATGGAAGTAGAATGGGCACGGAGCCAGACGCTTCGCCTCACAGACACTTTCAGAGAGGATGTCATGGTCTTATAAACCCCTTCCTGCTGCGGCAAAAGAGCAAACTTTCATTTTGTATTTTTTTACGATCGACACTCATCCGAATGTAAGAAAGATGCTACTGTCGCTCCACTGCATTCTCGCCTTGTCCGCGAAAACCTTGGCGAGGATGAAATCATATAGTTGCGATGCGATCCGTCCTGTACCGCCCGTCTCTTTAAAGAGACTCGGTGTCAGCACAGTGGCTAGTACACCCTAGTAACTTTAGTCGAAACCACACTGTGGCCTACTTCTCGATCATCCCATAAGAATGCATTGAGCATGAGACTCGCCATAAGTACTTCTGAATCAAGAACTCATCTCCCCAAACAACGTAGCGCGGGTCGTACGAAATATACGATGCATCACAGTCTCACGGTGTCGGTGCACGTCTTCATGCTGGGAAGGATGGAATGGTTCCACCCGATGTCAAGACACTGTATCCGGCAGGCACCAAACGATTATGGACACACATACAAAAATGCTGTACATGTACTTCCACCGAGTGAAGACTGAAGAGGGAGAGGAGGTATAGAACAGCATAAAGATCACATAGACAGGAGACAGATACAAGTACATATTGGCTGCAGGGTTGTATTGACTCACCTTGACCCTTTGCAGGTCAAGAGGATTCATAATGGTGCCTTGGAAGAACTCAACTGTGGTAAAATGCCGCTTAAACAACCCCTCTAGTTCCAAATCGGGTGGCTTTCTACCGGTTCCAAAAAGAAAGGGAGGACAGGGTACTGGGATATGTTGAGAAAGAACTAAAACAACCAACAACATGGAGGCAAATACCATGGTAGCGTAGACGGGGAGAGAATATGTAATGTAATGACGAAATTAAGGGATTCACGTGCATGCCTATGTAGGAAAATTAGTGAATGGCATAATGCCCGAGGATAAAACAGAAACCAAAATAAATAAATAAAAAGACAATGAGGAGAGAAAATTGTCGAGACTCTATGGCATAGAGTATGTATGTATTCAGCTACCTTGACTCTCTCTAAGTCAGAAGCTGCCATCATGGAGCCCTGAAAAAACTCAACCGTGGTATAATGCCTCTTGAGGAGCCCTTCCAATTCCAAATCAGGCTCTTGCCTATATAAGGAAACGCACACAACACTCTCATGGTCATCTTTTAAAAACAATCCATCTGAAACTACTCCGTACAGTACAGGAATAAAAAAAAATGTGGAAGCAGTCTTATGGCATCATCAAAACTGGATTCCACGAGACGTACAACCTGGCTTCGCTGAAGGTCAATGGGAGCATAATTGGCTGCGAATTTCCTTTTTTAAGTTTGAGATCCTTAAATCCCAAGCCAAAAATGTAGGTAGCGGCTCTTGAAAAAGCTGACAGCCGCACTGAAGAAGTATTCCATCATCATCGAGCGGATGATGCCATCAGCTGCATGATTTTCCCGAGCTCAGATCATCTACATTAATTTGGAAAGGATTCCTCCGATAATTACGCTCAATTTCCATGATTAAAAGCATCACCATATTGAGATAATGTATATCTTCCGTACAGGAAAGTCCTTTTGAAAGGACCCAGTTCGAAATCCTAATCCAGGAAATTCAAGCCATCCTATGCTGCCAGTGCGACAAATGGGGAGAAGGTACGTAAGTACCAAATGCGATAATTTGTTCACGATTTTCAACCAAGCCAGGGTGGGGCTGCAAAATCTGCAATCTCTATAGACGGTCGAAGTCAGTGTGCCGGCGCATCGACCTTTCTTGCTCTTCCGTTTCCATTGCATTTATCTTCCAGAGAATGCCGAGGGAAATTCAATCGTAAATGGAAATCTTCAAAGGCATGCATATCTTCAGCTGGACAGTCTGTTATGCTCAACAAATAATGGTTTCCGTGTCGCGGCGAGGGGGCTGTACGCATTAATGCACGTGTCCTCCTTCCAATGATAATAAAAAGGCAAGAGAGTACTTCAGTTTAAAGCTTTGGTTTCCCGATCACGTAGGGCACGCTAGAAGATGTTGGGTGTCAAAAGGATGCCCGTTACATTTTTCCTGACGGGAGCCGCAAGTATCAGATTTCTTTCCTCCTTCCGAAAGAGATTTTTCTTTCCATATTTCTCTTTCGAAAAAGAGGGCTTCTATAGTAATACCAATTGTGTGACATTTCTTACAATATGGATATGTCAAGTGAGAGCCAGTACATTTCCCTCGTGAATTACCCCGCTAATCTGGAATCAAATACATCCCTGCAAAGGCTAAGAATAAAAAGAAGAAGAAGTTCCTCAGAGCAAACCAAGCAAGAGTCAGAAAAAGTTTCAAGAGAAATTACATCGTACTATGTATACCGCAGATATCCGGTATAATTAGTCAATTTCAAACGATTGTCATAATTGTGTGACAATTTTTCATTAAGTGATTTTTAAAGGGGAAACTCCGCGAGTTAACCCAGAGGGATCGAGAAAATATTAATAAATCACATCGATCCTACCCAGTTCATCCCCCCTGGAAGCCTTCGAAGAGATTTGTAGCGGTAAGAAGGATCCTCTCGTCGGGAAAAAAAAAATCTGGTCGTCGGAGAACTCACGAGAGATGGGCAACAAAATCTTACCCATGGAGTCATTTTAATCACGTGGCGAAACCACAGGCTGGTAGCACTGGTGTTCCTTGTGACCTTTGAAATTTGCATTGTAATTATAAACTTTTAAGAAGTAATAATTACAAGGCCTGGTAATGAACCTGCGATTGTTACAGAAGGAAAGTTTTATGAATCTGATGGAGAAGAGAATCGTGTAAAATACACGATTCTCTTTTCAGATACAAAGAATCAAAAACGAGTGCAAACAGATGGAGCTTGCAACGTAGGAAGCAGGAAAACATCTTTCAACTCTTTCAATCGAATAAAAGGGAAGAGCCCTCCCCAAAGGGAGGTTTCTCATGCCCTTTTTAGTAAGTGTAACCATGAGTCAAAAGTCTCCTCTTCCCAAGAGAAATCTGCTGAAGATACTGTGTAACTAAGCTGCACGTTTCAGAATGGTTCTCAACAGAAAAGCTGCTGCGCTGTCAGACTTAATAAGTGCAGAGATGAATTTGCAGCTTTCAGGAACATCAACATCCAAGTGACAAAGACGGCTCAAAATTAAGTCCAAGAAGTAATTAAATTACGTCTGCATTTACATACTTCCAAGAAATGATATCTAGAAATTGTTGCGACCAGTAGATTATCTTGCTGCAAAATGCACTCAAGTACTTTTCAGAAAGTATAGCAAATTACAGGAAATTGACCGTATAAAGATTGGAACGAAGCCGACCCCTTACGTCGGAAATAGCAGTCACGTGTTTCTATGCCAAGATGCATAAGGCTTCCCTACCATGGTGAAGATCATTTAATAACCTGATCCGCCGAGATGTCCGGAAACCGTGCCTGCTTTTGATACCAAGCCAGGGGTCGACTTCATGTTCCAAATTAGAGTCGACTTACCTTGTTGCCCATTCCTCTAACTGACAAATTATTCAGAGAGTAATAGCTCACACGGGCATTCAAGAAGTACACGAGACGGTATCTGATCTGGAAGAAGGGAAACGCAAGGTAACCAATTACCTGTGGAGGAAGACGACTTCCACGTCCACGTCCTCTCGGTCTTCATGAAGGAAATCTTTGAGGAAATGAGACACGGATTCGTACGTGATATGCCCACAAACCACGATGTGCCTAGAAAGGAATTAAATTTGTGTCAATTTGTGTCATGGTGAGCACTGCGAGTATTCCCTATGGAAATGCAACTCTCTCGACGAACCCCTCATATCCCTCAAATATCCTTCAGCTTGGAAAAAATGCTTATGTTCTCGTTCAAGCGATGCATGATGGGAATTTAAATATCTTTGGCGCACTTTACGAATAACTAATGGTTCAAGCCAGCAGTTTTTTTCTCTCGATTTTTGGCATAACATACGAAATTTTGATGTCATAAATAAATCTGCGTGGCCGCCTGTCAGCAGCAGCAGATGGAAAGTGATGAAGGACCTGGAAATAGAATTTCAACTAGTCAGACAAAAAATATCACTGCCGCTGCATCTGATGAGAATATCGAGAACGTTTCATTTGACTGAAGAAATCCCGAACCAAAGAGGTGATTTTCATCAGAGGCAGCGTCAGCAAACGACGAAACAGACACTGGGAAACACACCAGAAGCAAAGCCAAGGGAAACGAAGAAAGACAGAAGTGAAAGAAACGAACGAAAACGAGAGGGAAGGGCGGGGTAACCAAAAGAAAAAGATAGTGATGATAGCGTTTGATGGAGAATCTCTCACCTCCGTCCGCGTTCATTCTGATACGTCCCGCCGTACTTGGATCTTGTGCCGACAAGATCAATGATTTCGGGGATGCAGCTTGCAAAGATGGCCTGAGTGAGGAGTACGTGACAAAAGAAAAAGAAACGGCACACGTGTGTATTCTCTCCACACCAACGCACACGCACGCGTGTATTTCTTCTGTACAGTACAGTTAGAGAAGTGAAAAGAGACACACAGCACTCTCGGCACAATGCCACAGCATATAGCAAACGAAAAGGGATGAAATGGGTGTGAGGCAGGTGGAGATGAAGACGGGGCACAAGCAACAGGAGGGTGAGGAAAAAGGGATCCTCATCGGCACATCTGCATGATCGTGTTGTGTGTATGTGTGAGAGAGAGAGAAGAGAAACGGCAATTCTTCCCTCTTCCTTTCTTCTTTAACTCGCAATCGTGACAAGTGCATCAGAAGCATCGACAGCGGCAGAAACAGAAACAAAAAGATTGAAACGAGGCAGAAGCAAAAGCAAAAACTTATTGAAATATCAGAAAGGATTCAGAGATTCGAGGTGGAAGTGATCTTCGTCCATACCGGTGACAGGTGCAACAGAAAAACCGCCAAAGGCTCTATACCTGTTTCGGTTGCGTGTGAAGGAGCCTCCAAAGCGAGTCCGATTGGCCACCAAATCCTTGATTTCGGGGAGCCAACTTGCAAATGCAGCCTGGGGTATACGGCAGGCAGGCACAACAAACGACACAAGGGAGGAAGAACGAAATGGGTGCGAGGGAAAAAAAGAGAGAGAGAGAAAAGAAGAAAATTCAGCTCACTCAGATTGGCATGGACTCGTTCAGATTGATCATGTATGCAACATTTATACAGAATGGGCGAGACCTAATAACCACACAGCACCTTAGTGAAAATGTTCTATATAAATTTATTATTATTATCGATTGGAATTCTACAGATTTTCTATCAAAAACACTTTCAAACTCTCGTAGAGCTGTACAGTACATGAAACTCTACAGAAGGATACAACATTATAAAAGTTATAAAACCGAGTGCATTCAATAGTGAAGTTCTACATTACTTCTACAGGACTGGACAGACTCTAGAATTCTACAGGTTTGGTGAGATTTTCCTCTGGGACAAGTACATCCTATGGCATACTACATCGATCTGGTCTGGATGACAGGAATGATGAATTACCGATGCAGGGATGAAAGATGTGCAGGAACCTCAGTTCATCTATGACACTTAGCCTCTATGGATCGCCCTAGACAATATCACATGCAAATCTGAGCGAGTAAAACACAAAGGAGAGGAAGGGAAGAGCAGCCATGAAGACGAGGGAGCGATAAGAATGAAAAAATGTCCTCTCTACCTCTTGCCATATTCCCTCTTGTACTCGCCGCTGTATTTGGACCTTCGGCCTAAAAGCTCAAAGATTTCAGGGATGCTACTTGCAAACATGGCCTATAAGGAGAGGAAAATCACACTCAACAAACAACAGCTACCGTCTAGGCCTACAATATGCAGCAAGAGCATGAGCAACTATGACACTGTAGACTAGGCCGATCCAAGACAAACCCAAGTCCACTAGGCCTCTATGCCTACAGAATCGATCTTGTCCAAGTGCACTCATCCATCACCGAATTAATTAAGGAACTTGTTGGCTCGGTCTGACCCCTCTCCAAAGGAACACTTCTCTCTTTCTACTGAATGTATTGTACAAGGTCTTTGTGCCAAGAGAAATTGGGGGAGGAGGGAAGGGAAGAGGAATCTGGGGAGATAAGGATCAATGAGATACTGGTGAAGAGCAAGAAAAGGAAATGGCTCTCACCAGTCCGACGAGGATGAAGAAGACCATAAAAGTGCGACCGAGGACGGTTTCGCACGCCACATCCCCGTAGCCCACTGTTGCCATGGTGACGATTAGGAAATAAACGCATTCCCAATACGGCATAGAGTGTGGGTTCGAGAAATCGAACGGATCCCCGGAATTCTCCAACTGGTTGATGCACACACAGGCAAGAGCCCTTCAATTTCACTTTCAAAGTAAAAGGCTGTGTGCTATTTCACGCAAAAATAACTCGGCCGCCAAATGGAAGACGGAGAACCGCAGCTAAGTCTCCCGTGTCTGCCCGGAAGTGACATCACGGCCGGGCATGTTCGACAACGCCGCAATTCCCCCTCTACCAATCAGCTTTTCTATTTGATCAAACACAGACACGCTACTTACCAAGTGGATCATTCCGGCGGCAGTAAGCCATACCGAGATGAAAATGGAGACCAGTTGAGCCAATCGGATGGAACTGGAGGTTTTCAAAATATTCAGGTACTGAAGGATGTCAGGAACGGTCATGAGGCGAAGGGCTCGCAGGAACCTCAGGCCTGTCGACGGATGAAAGAAGTGAGTCTCGAGAAAGCACAGGGCGGTCCAAAAAAAAGGACCCCCAACTTCAAAATGCTGTGTTTCAGGCGACAATGCCTGATTTTTTTAGTGCATTTGACATTCACGTCATTCGACCAAATCTAAAGGGCGATGAAACGGTCACGTATGATTCAACTTATCGAGAATGACGTAACATGCAAAATGGTGGCGCGTAAGAGGAAAAAGCTGCAACGATACCCTGGCGATGTTTCTCATCCTTGATTGAAAATTATTTGACCTCAGTCCTAACTTTCGTTTTTCTTCGAACGAAAAACACGCGTAGCTTTCGAATAGCTAGATATTGTCCCACAGCCAAAATCTAGTGAAGAAAAATAAATTAAAACTGAGCTCAAAATGTTCAATCAAGGACGAGAAACATCACCAAGGGAACGTTGCAGCCGTTTCTTGCAACGCGTCGCCTTTTTACATGTGACGCCAATCTCGGTGAGTTTAACCTTACGAGACCGTTTCATCGCTCTTTAGACTTGGTTGAATGACGTGTTAAACGCCACTCAGCACAAGGCATTGTCGCCTAAGCAGCAGCATTTTGGAGTTAAAGGCCCTCTTTTGAGTCCACCCTGCATATCGCATCTGCAAGACCGATCATGCCGGAGCCTCACCGATCCAAGTGCGATCCAGATAGATGGAAACGAACGAGGGCGGAATCGTGAAGTAGTCGACGAAGGAATACATCTCAAGCATGAACCAAAACTTATCACTGGCTGCGATGAACTTCACGAAGGAAACAAGCACAACCATGAAGTCATCCTCGACCGTGAAGTCACACGCGAAACACGGTCCGAAGAAACTCACCCGAATGAAGAAATAGACCATGAAGAAAATGTTAAAGGCAAGATCGATCTGTTGAGTCGTGTTCTGCGACCACAGTTGACACTTTTCCACGGATTCCTTTCTCCCACGACCGAAACTGTAATAATTTACAAATCTCATTCTGATGACTCCATCTACTTTTTCAATTGTGATAAACGAATATAACGATTTTCCGAGGACGAACGTAAATGTATTAAGTTTTACCTCCGATCAAATTTGAAATTGAAAATTGAAAGCTGGAAATTCCTTCGCGGCTGAGAGTTCTTGGAAACGGATCTCTTAAGAGGATTCATTATGGAAATCCTTTCCTCAGAATCCCTATAGGCCGAGAATGCCTTGTACGTACGTACGTATGCAGAAAGCTGAATTTACCCTTTCAATCGAAAATTCCTTCGGAGAAGAAAATTCCCAAGTTCACTGTATTTCCAAGTGAATGGATAAAAGTTCACAACTGGCTTACGACCTTCAAACCTCATGTCCCATGCAATTCGCCATTGAGAAAGAATAATGGCAGGCGAGACAGTGCTATTAGATTCTTTTTCTACGGATTACTGCATTTCACTTGAGCTACCGTTATTGCACATCGTCCTTTCGCTCGGTTTCATCCCGAAAAAATCCCGACGGTCTTCTGTGCATGCAATGCTTCTCTTCTTTGGGTGCACAATTTCAGTTGAAGTTGAAACCATATCAAGGAAATATTATCAGTAGAAATTAAATCAGTTAATCCACTAGTGGCCTAAAATTGGAACGGTCGAAAATTGTGTGTTCGTTTTGTAGTGAACACAGTAAATGATGTGAGGCAGCCCGTTTTCTGAGACTACATCTCATGCCCCCGGATGAAATCTCGGCAATATTTCAATAATATTTCAATAATATTTCATAGGCAATTTCTCGGGATGAACTACAGCTTCGATGGTCCAGAATAGCATGCGAGTTTCATCACCATCATCATATCGGCTGGATGATGGATGACCTTTCCCGAGACCGATTTTGATTAAAATCTGCAGAAACGTAGGAGGGTTCATGTTCAGACTGCTTTCAATACTTTCCTGAGATTTAGCACTTTTCTTCCAATACATGACTTTAACTGTAACCTGTTTTTGGTTACTAGCAAAAACCTGAACTAGAATCGCGAAAATGTTTCAGGAAAAACTTCTTCCTGATGAAGATTTCTGGTGTTATTTTAAGTTGCTCTCTTCGAAAGAATACCGCAAACTGAAGATGACACTAAAAATAAATTCTACTAGAACCAACAGGTCCACCAACTTAATGATCAAACTTCCTGATAATTTCAAAATCCTGAAGCAAGCAAAAACGAAAACGTTTTTGATAAAATTCCATACAATTTTTGAGCAACTATCATTGACGAAAAACGGTAGAAAGGAAATACGTAGTTTTAAATAAAATAGTATGTAAATAATAAAATATATATAACTTAAAATGCAATTAAATTCTAATACTAGTTAAAACAACTGTATTTTTCTGAATAAATATAAAAAGCAAACATGGGTAGCAAGCAGGGCATGTTTAAGCCAATTTTCAACTTAATATCAAAACTTTGATGTTAATGGAAATCACTATGAGAAATCATTCATTTTTCCATGAGAGTATAGGGGCCGTTGTTCCAAACACTTTTGTAGTGTTTGTACTCCACTTCTCCGAGGTAACGAACGGCATGGTGGGAAATATAGCAATCGTAAAAGATGTAAATTTAGCACACGACATTGGGCTGAAGATTCCCTTGTGCAATTTGTTGGAATCTCCTCGCAACTGAATCCTTTCATACAGTGATAGACGAGTTTGGCCGCGATCCACAGGGAGCAGTCTCCTGGAATCCTGGCACTCTCTCTTCTGCTCGGTTCCAGAATGAGGAAAACCTGAGACTCTTGTCCCAGCCCTCGTCTCCGTTTTAACCTTTTCTATCTTTTTCTCCCCGGTGCGGTGAGATTCGGAAGACGAACCTCGAAGCATCGATGAAGTAGATGACGAGAGACGCGATGCTGAGGATGAACACCAGCACGACCTGAGAACAACAAGTGTGCATGCACCTCATTAAAAAACAATTAGGCGTACGTAAATTAAGCGAGTCCTGTGCTAAGTATTGAATTATGTAGAAGTATGGAAAACCATTTCCAAGGTTTCTTCCTAGGGGTGACCTTCCTCCTCCGCAAAGTGAACGGGAAATGTAAAGCCTGAATTCCTCTTTTCAACCCGTTCATCATGATTCACTGACCCCGGTCATTTCTTCGTCCTGGCGACCTTGAATTTCGAATGATTTCATTTCTGTCATTAAGGGCAAGGGTCTGATCCGGTTCATAATTTGTGCCGGAATTGTCCGGAGCTCAGCTCTCCTCTGACGCTCCATTTACGCACTGTATAAATACAGTGAGCTCCGGTACTTCATTTCCTAAAAATTAAGAACTGATCTGGTCTCCGTTTAATTCCGGAAATGGTTTTTCACTTCACACATCTACATCAAAAATGCAGCACGATCCCTATTTGGGGAAAACTTTCCATGAAAAAAAAAACACATTAGCTCACTAAAATGTATAGCATTTGTGTCTTTCCGTTTCACCCACGTTTATTTCCTGTTACGGTTCATGGGACTATGCAGGTTCAGGTTTTCGCGATAATGTCGGGCTTGCGTTGCCTTGGAAGCGCACTGCATTCGCATGCGAGAGCCGTGCTTGCACGAATTCATCAATTTGAGCGATTATGCCGAGAGGAGTGGGGGAGGGTTTAATGCGCAAGACCGAAAGCACTCCTCCGCCCAACCTGGTTATATATTATGCAAGTATTGCTCCCCCCCCCTTCCCTTTTATTATTAAACGCACCATCAGAGAGAAAAGCTGAAAGTGAAAATGTATCAACTCCAAAAAATATTTTGAAAGCGCAAGAAGTTCGGTCAACGAACTGGATGAAATGGCGTCTCAAAGTCAAATTGACGGTCAAACGATTATAATTGATGTATCGTGGCTGTCCGGCGGCGCCGCAAAGATCGGAAGCTTTGACATCAAAAATCCCGAAACGATTTCGACTGATATTGCTGGAAAGATCTGAGTCCTGGCCACTTCCCGCTGCCGAATAACTGATTTGAGGAAGCAGACGTGAGCTTTTCGAAGGCAATTGGCTAATTGCCGTGTAACCCCTGCAATTGCCTCGAATTTATTCATCAGTTGAACCATCGACGTAGAATCCTTTTTGCGTATTTTATCTCAATTTCATCTCTCAAGAACAATATTCAAGTTTCGAGGGCTTTACTGCTGAAGTGTGTGCGTGAAATAACCACTGTAAGAGCCTCGGAGGCTGCTAGCTTCAGGAAGAACGGCTAAGGAAAGGGGGTTTGCCAAAGTAAAGGCGAGATCGCGCGTTTTCATCAAGGCGTTTTTTTCGAGGAGCGCTCGCGAGGATTACCCCCTATTCTTTCCGCGCAACATTACGGAAATCCCAGCAGAGCAGGGGATCCATCCAAGGAATTCCTTCTCCCAGCTCCATCCAAGAATTCCCTCTCCCCGCTCCATCGAAGAAATTCCCTTCCCTCCATCCACATGCATGGATCCCCCACGCGCCCTGTCGTCTCACGGGATCCAATCCCCCGATAGACATCCATCACCCGGGAGAAGCTTCCGGATTTCCACACACGGTCGGCGGCTTGGCATTCGAAGAGGCTTTGACCCGCCGCCTCGTCCACGTTGCGAGATCGATCGAAAGGAGCGAGATCGCTCCATTTCGCAAGTTAAAAGTTCTCCCTTTGTCGAGGTGACCAATAACTGTAACATCTTCCCGACTGTCCATCATTCTTCATCAGCTAGATTCCCAAAATATGGAAACTTCTATCTCATGTCATGATAATGGGATGCAGGAAGCCAGGGCGAATGGACCAGGCCCCATCTATAATAATAACAAATGTAATGAGAAAAGCTTTTCAGTGCAACCTCCTGGACTCTCGGGATGATATACGGCCTTGATGGTTTAAAAATTCTAGGGGATGAGAAAAGTTTCGGATGCCAAGACCAGAATTCATTTTAACTTTACGATCGCAGTATCGTTCTCCATAAACATTCTACGTAGGGAAAGATACCCTTCCTTAATGCTCTTGCCTTAAAGCATGCATAACCCTCATCGAGAGTTAGATGGGTCTGTGAGGGAATGAGATCGTCGCAAAGAAGTTGAACGTACGAGTATCCGTCCCGTGGTGGTCTGTCCAGAGATGAGTTCCCCGGCCCAGTCTTTGGCTTCCGTCATGAAAGTCCCTTCGAATTCGCCTCTCGGGTCGTTCGGCCCGCCGTGACGGTCTCCACCGTGCGGCCCCTGTTGCTTTCCCGCCTGCTTCGCTTGGGTGTAGAGACCGCTCTTGTCCTTGCGGGAGATGATGGTCTTCAAGAGGCGTCCCAGCAGGACCAAGAGGATCCCCACCGCGAAGGTGACGATGCTGGAGAGGAGGAAACACCACCATTTCCGCTCCTTGAGGCACTCTTCCTCGTCCTCGTAGACGCTCCTCTGCTGAGCGGGAAGGAAGTGCGGTTGGACGAGACGCGGGCGGGAATGAGACGATTCGCTTCCGCCGATCCATTCCGCCGCGAGCGGTTCTAATTCCGGCGAACAACAGCACGACGAAGGTGGAGGATTATTGAATAGTGCACTCATGTTCAGGACACGCGTCCATCCTTCATTTCACTGCACTTCGCTTTCGCATTACATTAGCTGCCTGGAGACAGACTGAGACCCAGGCAAGGCAGAACTCCTCTCTCTTCCTCTCTTCCTCGTCAATCGATACCGCGGCTCGGCGCTCCACCAATCCCGTGCCGCTACGTCATTGGTCCCTCCGCTCGAGGACGGGCGGAGGAGAAGGGGGGAAGGAAGAACGAGACGGAAAGAAAAGGAAAGAAGGCAGAAAGTAAGATTGGAAGATGATGATGATATGGAAAGTACGTGCCTCGTAAAACAGTCATCCATAAATCGTGTATGGGCAGCAGTCGTGGACAGAATTAAGCGCGAGCATCCTCTCTTCGCGAGGTTTTTCTTCGGGCAATGCAGGAGAGAGTCGGGTGCGCAGTCGATGGAACACGAGGGAATTTTACCGCTTTGCGGGCCCATCGACCTCAGTCTCGGCCCGATCGAGTCCGAACTGCGAAGTTTCATCTCATTATGGATATCCTTGCGCAGACACGCAACTTTCTTCCCGTTCTCCACGCCGAAAATGTCGCAGCCGATGGCAGATGCTCCCATTCGTCTAACCAACCTCTGGGGAGATCGAGGTCTGTCAACCTCGATCCTCCTTTGGCACTGGAGTCAAACTCGGGATCGAACCGCCTTCAGACTTCGGTGACGGCGGATTTCCGTCGTTCATAGTTCACCCTTTCTTTACTGGCACAAATTACTTGGTGCAACTGAGGTGAATTTCTTTCTTGGGGACTAGTACGTGGTATAAGAGTAGTTGGATCTCCCCGTGTTAGTGTGGAGGAACAGGGTATCGTTCTGGAAAGAATCTGGCTTTGAATAAACAATAGCTTGATTAAATTTTCAGCTCTTTCAATATGATATGGAAAAGATGGGAATTAGGATCGATTGCGAAATCACTGCTGTAGCCAAAAGAGATTTTCCGAGCCGAATGAGAAAATGAGAACACGAAAAGCCACACGGAAATTCAAATTCGACCTGCGACCGGGAAAAATGAAAAAATGAAAGGCACCGAGAGGGAAAGCAGCTTGGAAGCAGCTTGTTTTTACATAAACTCAAATGCAAGGTGAAAACCCAAGAACGAATGGAGAAGAAAACGTCCGACACCATCTGGACAGAATGCCCCCCTGCACGTGTCACTTAGTCGCTCCTCAGTCGCGCATGAAACGCATTCATGAATCCTGAAGACGCCGATAGGACTCGGATCCACGTCGAATCCGGATGGTCATTCCACGAATCGGATTCCAAAACGGACTTGGCACAGACCCGAGGCTCCGATATCGCCTCCTCACATCGCAACCCTGCATCGCAACCCTGCATCGCAGCCCTGCTCGAGACGAAGCCTCAGTCGTGCACGAAGTCGTGCGCGAAGAGATCGTGCTCGCGGAAGCGACCTTGGAAGTTCCCCAGCGAAATGAGTTTCGCTTCCCGGGAAACCATCTCGACTTGCTAACCCCGAAAGATATTCGGGAGAAGATGAGAGCCATCTGGCTGCAATCTCGGTGAGCCTATGAATGCGAAATGCGATGAATATTCCTCGTCTTCCAAGCGAGACAAAATTATTCCTTTCTTTCCCACTCTTCGATACGGACGGTTTTATTTCAAGGAATGGCTCACTCACCGTGGAGAAAGAAAGTTCCTATAAAAATTTTTAAAGTAAAAATCAGTGTGAAAAAGCCTCCAAATTCATTTGATTTTGTCCATCGGCGTTGTGAGTTTGGAAAACTTATAGGTCAAATAAAGCTTCTTAGGACGGTATGAAATCGCGTTTTATCTTGTCGGATATGACAGACTGCTTTGAAACAGCCGTTTCGTGAGCTACATGAGAATGACGGCGATAAGGTCCCCTGTATGTTACCTTATTTCAACTGGTATTTACTCATGTTCGTGGGTTTTTTTTCTCCAGCACTTGCAACATCAACTCCTTCCGTCAGCGCTTGATAAGACGTCACTAAATGACGTCACTCTCGGACAAGCAGCTGCCAGAGGAACATAAGGAACTGTGAGAGCACCTAGTGACGTCTTGGGATGCTGCAAGCGTTAGCAGACCAGCAGAGCCGCTTGAAAAATTAAACACCCTTGGTTTCATTATGATGAAGCTTGTCTCCAAGACGCTCCCCCCCCCCCTTCCCCCCCTCCCCCCCCCACTATTCTCCCTTCCCCTTTTCGCTGGAATATGACTTTAATTTCCGGCAGAATCTCAGTCATAAGACTGAATAAGTCATAAGTAATAAGAATCAGTCTTATAATCCTAGAAAATATTTTGGCTCCCTTTGCAAAGAGACTCCCACACCCCCCTTTCTCCCCCCCCCCCTTTCCCCCCGAAGGGATAAGGGTCAATCCCTTGCGTCCAAAATGACGTCAAAACGGAAGGCACTTTAAGATCACAATAAGATTCGCGTCCTTGTGCAAGTGCATTTCGAGTCGGAAATTATGGAAAAGATGGGGGCAGGCCACCTGGCATGGCCAAGAGATACAATTGCCCCATTTCCCTTTCCCTTCGTCTGATACGGTTTTCTTGAAAATGCAGCACCCGACGGGCCTGTCTCATTTGATATTCCTCTCGTCGCAAGTGACTCTCTCGCGCTGGGGCAGCGACGAAATTGAATTCCCCCGTCGAATTTGACTTTCTTATGCCCATATTTGACTCGAAAAACTAATAAAAACGGGTCGGAAATGGCCCTTCCCGTTTCACAGAGGTACCTCGTCCACAAAAGGCCTCAAGGTCGCAGGATCCACCCGCTCGAATCACGCGACGAAGCAGGAAAATCGGATCGAGTGAGGCAGGCTTCGCTTCTTCGGAAATCGCGGTGACTCGGGTGAACCTGTTCCCATAAAACGATCGTTTAATCGGTCTTGCCCATCTAGTACATGTCGCCCCTGCGCTCCACGTGCAAGCCATATTTTAGCAGGAACAGAGTCGTTTCTCGATGCGAATCACGTCGGACTCCGGGCGCATGACCGGGTCGTCGTTCTGCGTTTCGGAATCGAGTCGACTCTTTTCGGTCGACCTCTGTCGGCACTGCAGTTATCGATCGTTTCCTGAGTGATGGAAATTTTTAAGAGTCGGGAAAACCTCTCGTTCCCTTCCTTAACTTGAGTCGTGCATTCGCGATCTAACGGCACCGCGAACCCAGCCCGAGCAAGAATCGCTCATGATCACACAGCATGTTAAGGAATGCGAGTTGTTCTGAAACTTACAATTTCGATAGAGTTCTTACGCTTTCGCAAGCTATTTTTGCGCTCGAAAGTTTTCTTTCCCTGTCCCTTCGGCAAGCCATTCCATCGCTTTGATTCCATTCCACATTTCATCGTCCCGAAGGTCAAAGCCCCGTCAGATAAAAATCAGACAGGGCTTTCACTCCCCGACTTTTGACATTGACTTTTGACAGGAGCTCTCCTATTTTACCAGCACATCACACCATTCCTCACACACATTGTGACGATGTGACGATTGCGAAAGGAACGTCCATCCGCACTTCGCTCGATCAATTGGGGCACTGGCTGCTGCCAGTGGCAGTTTCACCTCTTGCCGAGAGGATTCCGTTCTTGCCGAACGATGTCGAACGATGTCGAAACGAGGTCTTTCTTCGCGTCTGTTCGATTCTTGGCCCGATATAATTTTATGGTGTGCCGCCACATTCCTCATCGCGAGGAACACTCGAATCCGCGATGATTGGTCGGATACGACCGAAGACGAGAAAACACATCGATCCAGCTCACCGATGAGACCCGGGCGCAAGATCCGTCGAACGGAATAGCAATTACAATAAGGACCGGGGACGGCTTTATCGCACGTGGCAGACGCCATCCCGTCCAATCTCCTCGTTTCCCTCACCTCCCACCCCCTCCTCCCCCCTTCCCCC